TTTCCTTTTTTTTCTTCCTTCTTGCCCCTTCTTCTTTCTTCTTCCAATTCCAAACATGCTGGGACCATAAATACTTTGTGTATATATTCCAAGACAATAATAAATGTCCAAGGCAGTTGTAACTGTCCACCTGTCAGTGTCCACCTGTCAATGTCCACCTGTCAATGTCCACCTGTCAATGTCCACCTGTCAATGTCCACCTGTCAATGTCCACCTGTCAATGTCCACCTGTCAGTGTGTTTGTGACAATGTGAGTACAATTTCAGTACCTAATACTAGTGTCAGAACAAAGATTAGTTATTAAATTACAAGAGCTATGATTAATTGAAATTAACAGAACATAAAAATTATATAAAATAATATGAAAAATAGAAAAAAAAAGGTATTTTAGCAACATTTCTGCAAGTGACAGGACTGGATGTTGCTGTCACGTGAGCATCCAGTGCCAACTTCTCAGCCTCATATCTCTGTAAGTACTGACCCTAATTTTTTTTTATCCTATAACACTTAGAAAAATGTGCTCTTTATTTTCATTAAAAAAAATAATTTTTGTTATTTTTCAAAATATTCTGGGTACTGGGGTAGTGAATATATATATATATGTTTGGGCCATTTATGGGTTAAACTGTCCAAACGTAGATCTATGTTCACTCGCGTAGTGCTTGATGTTACATGCTTTCTTATGTAAAAAAAAAAGTAGATCTATGTTCGGAGTGCTTTGCGAGTGAACACAGATCTACGTTTGGACAGTTGACAGGTTAATTATGCAATGTTGCGTGAGGTGGATTCAATTATTATATATATCAGGCCATGGAGTGCCTGGGGAATGGGAGACATTCAGGTTTAATCCAAATCCTTGGATCAAGAGCCCTTCACTTACATCAAAGAACCCTCTTCTCTTCAAGGTTCTTTTTATAAAGAAAAAGTTATTAGGATAAAAACAAAGAAGTATATATTAAGATGTATCGACTGATATTTTGCAAATAAAACAAATACAGTACTAGATATTTTTCAAACATACCATAAAGAAAATATTTGGGGTTTTATCATATACAGTGGACCCTCGCATAACGCTATTAATCCGTTCCTGAGACCTCAATGTTAGGCGAGGGCCCACTGTACACTGGTACCTCGAATTTGTTCCCATAAGGAATAAATAAAGTAGATTAGCCCGTTTCAGACACAAAAGCACTTGCAAAAATACACTTATATAATTGTTCAAGTTGGGAGCTGTTCGAAATTTGAGGTACCACTGTATATGCAACAATGGTACCACTGTATATGCAACAATGGTACCACTGTATATGCAACAATGGTACCACTGTATATGCAACAATGGTACCACTGTATATGCAACAATGGTACCACTGTATATGCAACAATGGTACCACTGTATATGCAACAATGGTACCACTGTATATGCAACAATGGTACCACTGTATATGCAACAATGGTACCACTGTATATGCAACAATGGTACCACTGTATATGCAATATGGAAGAGGAACCCTAGACATATTTAGTGTAATTAATGTTGGTGAAAACTTCAGACCATCTAAACTACTGCAGGTTACAATACACTTGAATTTGGGTATACAAATTATTTAGAAAAATAAATACCTTTTTTCTAGTACGTATATATACTAGTTTTGAATAGAAATTATTTTAACCTTCAGTCAACACTTAACCTTTAATTTGGATATAAGAAGAAAAATAGACCTTTTTTTTCACATATTAACAACTAAAATTTTTAAGATCCTCAAATAAATATATTTTCAATAGTCAGATAATATTCACTAAACCATCTATCAGAACTTAACAGTCAGACAATACTCACTAAACCATGTATCAGAATTTAACATTCAGACAATACTCACTAGACATCTGTCAAATTTACATCAGACAATACTCACTAAACCATGTATCAGAATTTAACATTCAGACAATACTCACTAAACCATCTATCAGAACTTAACATTCAGACAATACTCACTAAACCCTCTCAGATGACTTTTTGTCAATGTCACACCTAACTAGTTACTGTACCAGTACTAGTGTCACCTAGAGAAAGACATATCTTGGGGTTATCAAACAAGAAGTCCCTCATTCTAGGCTTGGCTTCCCTGTGGTGCTTGTGAAGAAGTTTGAATACTCCAGTACCAATATTCATGGGCTTCCCCATAATAATACAGTCACTCACACCCTGGATGACATTATTCTGACTATAATAAGCAGCATCAAACAAGTGATCAGCTGTCTTCTCAAACTGAAATGAGACAAATCATGTTCAGCAATCTTGATATGAAATCTTTTTTTCTTCTTTATGCCACAACAAACATAACAGTTTTATAAATTTAACACACTCTTCTTCCATACATACAAATACAAATTTTCATTTCTTTATTCTTTTTTCAATGCATCACAGCAGTCTCCCACAGAGTCAGGTAACCTAATAAGAAAAATGAAATGTTTTCCTTTCACATTTAGTAATTTATACCGGAGAAATGGTTACTAGCCCCTTGCTCCCTTATTTCTTTATGTAGTACAAAAATAATGTAGTTTACAAGTAATAAAACACTGCTCATCACAATGCATTTCAGGCAAACTAATTATAATGCTTAATCCTTTCAGGGTCGAGAGGCCCTCTCCTAAACTCATTCTCAGGGTCAAAAATTTTTTGGAAAAAAAAAAATGATTTTTTCTTATGAAATCATAGAGAATCTTTTCCCGATCATAATGACACCAAAAGTATGACATTTGATAGAAAACTTACGGAATTATGCTCTCGTGAAATTAGCAGTCTCGACAATGTTTACACATCGGCGATTTCGCCCTATTTTTGGCCAATTCCTGTGTACTAGTCGACAAAAATCATATTTATTTCACTAGCACTCCATTTTGTCTATCGAATGTGTACAAGAAACCACCCATTTACCAATTTCAAATGTCCAATAAAGTGGTTAGAAATGGGCAATTTTGCCAATTTCACACAAATTTCATAAGATGCCAATTTCCAAATAGGGTCCAGAATAAACAAGAAAGACATTCCTGGCACTAAAATAACATTTCCGGTGTTCATTAGTCACGTCCCCACGCCCCTCTTACATTCTTTCGCTTTCCATTTTGAATTTTTATTCTCACAAAAAATAGAAGATTTACTGTTATGCAGACTACTGCATTAGTGCAGAAATGGTATTAAATAATATTAGCGCACTTGTGAATGAATATTAGACTCGCCAGTTGATGTGTATTGGATGCTCAGCATGATTTGTTTACTTTTGAACTTTGATAATAATCAAACATTTCTGCTACTTTGAACTCAATTTCAAGGTACTTTTCTTTGTAAAACCAGTCAAAATCATCTCAGTTATGTAATATGTCTTCCATTCTATAAAGTGAGACCAGGAAAACTAGAATACAACAATAAATACCATACGAAAATACAGTGCAAAATCAATGTTTTAATACAAAAACACAAAGATTTTTTTTTTTCTCATTACACACTGTGTGCTGCAGGATTTATTTTATACTGTGCACACTGACCACATAGACCCATTCTTTCATATGTAGGCCTACCAGCTTTCTCTCACTAGATTTGAAGGCGCTAGAATTTATGTGTACTAGTACGTCATGGACACTGGGGCGTAAGCCATACTTGTATGGCCGAAACCCTGAAAGGGTTAAAGTAGCGAAAATGTTCGATTTTTACCAATGTTCATGAGTAAGCAAATCACACCACATGTCCAATACACGTCAACTGGGGAATCTAATGTTCTTTCACTAGTGCACTGATATTATTTATACCATTTTTACAATAATGGAGTAGTCTGCATAACAGTAAAGCTTCTATTTTTTATGGGAATAGAAAATCAAAATAGAAAGCAAGAGAAATATAAGAGGGGCCTGGAGATGTGATTAATGAACAGAGGATATGTTATTTTAGTGCCAAGAATGTCTGCATTGTTTATTCTGGACCCCATTTTGAAATTGGCATCTTTTTTTAAATGCATGAAATTGGCCAAATTGCCAATTTCTGACCACTTTATTGGGTAGTTGAAATCGGTAAATGGGCAGTTTCTTGTACTCAAATGATAGAAAAAATGGAGTTCTAAAGAAATAGCTATGAGTTTGATCGACTGGAACAATGGAATTGGCCGAAAATAGGGCTCAAAGTCGGTGAAACCGCTGATGCGTATATATTGCCGAGACCGCTAACTTCACGGGAGCGTAATTCCATAAGTTTTCGATCAAATTTCATATTTTTGGTGTCATTACCATCGGAAAAAGATTCTCTATCATTTCATAAGAAATTTCATTTTCCCAAAAATCTTGCGACATAGAATGACAGTTTCAGAAATGGGCTTGCGACAAAGGGTTAAGAATTAGGTGCCTCGACACCGAAAGGGTTAGAGACACAAAATTCTTTCTTAACCCCTTGACTGTTGAAACCCCTAATCCTGAAGTGTCTCCTGGTGTTGAAAAATATTAAAAAAAAAAATTATTTTTTCTTATGAAAATGTTAAGATCATTTTTCTGATCGTTTTAGTCCAAAAAAATAATTTTTGCCATCAGTACTTACCAAGATATAGAAGCATGAAGTTGGCAGAAAATGAGCTGAGTATGGCAACAGCGGCGATTGCCGCTCACCCGGTAAACTTTGGCTTACTTGTATTCGAAGGTTTCTTGTTTATTTTCACTATTTTATTTTTTCATATAACTTATGTGGCCTGTGAGACCAAAGTATGGTGTAATCTTCATATATACATTAGTTGAATGTAACACAATTATAGCAAAAACACTAGTGTCATCATGTTTACAAAACTTGTTTACACAAACAATATAAAAAGTTGTTTATTACGATTGTTCTATAATATATATACATATGTACAATTACTGGACACTTTCCTAGAACTGCTGCAGCTTGTGGAATTCTTTGAAAAATGGGTGTATGCGCAATGGTGTTTTATGCTCCTCACACATTAAACGAGTGTCTCTGCGTTTTTATGGGTGTTTTGTGGTATGTGTACAGACATAACACCTCTTCAGAGCATTTTTCTTGAAAGCAGTAGCAGGCAGTGGTATGGGGTGGCGATCACCATGCCTCAGATGAGAGGGCATGTGTTGATAATTTCGTGGGCACTGGTCTATTGCAAGTGCTGTTCCATGGTACTTGAATATTATTTGTCTGATAACTGACAAACAAACTTCACCATATTTGGGTTTGTTGTTGGCCTTCAACTATTATTATAAGCATTCAGCATGGAAATGTCAAGAAGATGGAAAAAGAGTTTTATGTACCACTTATAACTCTTGCAAACACAATCAGCAAACCCAATCTGCATGTCACATTTGTCCACTAACCGCATATTGAGGTTGTAATCCATCACAGCTGCAGGCTTTACAATGGGTTCATTGGTCTCTCTATTCTGCTTGCCACTGACTACCATTTCGTGTTGGTGAACTGATGTCAAAAGTGTGACATCACATTTGTCATGCCCCCAAAATGCCATGATGTCACTGGCAGCAAACACCTGAACATCACCTCTACGAGTGCCAGTGTCGAACCTAGGCATATGCTTACGATTTCCATGCACTGTGCCACACACATCTGTCATGTTCACTCACAAGAAATCACTGAGTAAGGGGCTTGTGTACCAGTTGTCAGTATATAAAATATGCCCCTTACCAAGTCATGCTAGCCAATACTGTAAATACCAAATTACAGAAAATATCAACCTAGATGAGGACCAACAAACTTACTCTAAACATTGACAAAACCTACTACATTCAGTTTGGTAACAGAGCTACAGATGTGTCTCCAAACATAATGATAAATGGCTCACCTATCACAAAACTCACAGAGGGAAAATTCTTAGGAATCCACCTTGATAATAGACTCAAATTTCAAACACATATACAACAAATTTCCAAAAAAATTTCCAAGACCGTAGGCATACTATCGAAGATACGGTACTATGTTCCACAGTCAGCCCTCCTGGCCCTATATCACTCACTTATTTACCCCTATCTCACCTATGGAATTTGTGCATGGGGCTCAACAACAATAAACCATCTCAGACCACTAATCACCCAACAAAAGGCTGCAGTCAGAATGATAACAAATTCCCACTACAGACAGCACACTCCACCAATATTCAAAACTCTAAACCTACTCACAAAACAAAACATCCATACTTATTACTGCACCTACTACATACATAGAACACTTAACTCTGACATAAACCCTCCCCTCAAACATCTCCTTACCAACCTTAACAGAACACATGACCATAACACAAGACACAGATCACTCTTTGATGTTCCTCGTGTCCATCTCACACTATGCAAAAACTCAATGCACATAAAAGGCCCTAAAATCTGGAATTCATTACCTGTGAATATAAAAGAAACACTGTTTATAAATTCAAGTCTCTTCTCAAAAATCACTTACTCACCCACAACTAAATAAATACTGAATATTGCATCTCATAAATTGTATCTCATATATGTATTTCATTATTGTATCTCATAAATGTCAACCTGTGACCCGATCAAACTTTGTTACTATTTAACTTCATTACCTAACAGAATACTCCATTCTACTGATTACACAGCAACACAGTAAATGACCATATGACCTGTCTTTGTAATACTCATTTGTACTAAATTGTTATCTGTTTTACAATAATTTTTGTATCACTGAATATATCATTGCTTAGTTAATCTTAAGTTAATTTTAAGCCTGCCCATAATGCTCTGCATACAAGGGGCTTTGGCATGCTGCACTTTAAAAATTGTATTCCTTGTATTTCTCTGCATCATGTTCAAATTAATAACTAAATAAATAAATAAATAAATATGATTCCATCATTGTTCTAACCACATCACCAGAGATACCCAGTAACTTCCTGGTATCTTGCAATGTTTTACTGCCAGTGTACACAATTATATTCAAAACCAGACCACTTTTGCAATCACACAGTACAAATAACTTTATACCAAAGCGTTTCCTCTTGCTTGGTATGTACTGCTTGAATGAGAGTCTTCCTTTGAACAAAATAAAAGACTCATCAATAACAAGCTTCCTGAAGGGATAAAAATACATACAGCACCTTTGTTTCTGGTACATAAACACATTTCTGATCTTATATAACCTGTCACTTCTGTCAGGCCTGGTTTTGTCTGAAAAGTGTAGCATACATAACAGTAGCACAAATCTATTCACTACTGGGAACGGTTGAAGGTCCTTGATCTGTATTCCCTTGA